AAATAAATCAAATCGCAATTTATGATGCATCAGCTCAGTATCAAAGTAAGTTATTTTATTTATTTACTTTTTCATTTCTCTTTTGAATATTCTTTTCATTTTTTTTTAATTTTTATTTTACGTATTGAATTCTTTCCCGTAGCTTCTGCTTTTGTATCAAAAATAGGTTAGTTTTCATAAAAACGCCATGACGGTTAATTTCAAAAAAAGAAAAAAATGTCTCCTTACAAAAAAAAAAACAAATAAGAAGGAACAAACAAATGAAACAAAATATTTACCAACATTATTTCCTCTAATTTGAATAATTTACTATTTCCAAATGTCTACGATATTAATTATGGAGATTCAAATATTTAAGTAAATTAACGGAAATAGGAAAACTTTTTTTTTTGGAACTAAGTTCTTTTTGCTCGGTGAAAAATGAAAGTTACGTGTAATACAATTATCTTACTCTTGAAACTGTACATTCGTCTCATTTTCTCGAAACTTAGTTTTTTGAAGATTTTAATTCTAACACGTGTGATCTACACACATGATTTTTTCTTTTTTAATAGTTTAAATATGGTATATTTATATAATTTGGTGTATTATGGTATATCATTTACTATAGTTTGGGAAAAAGCTCATAAAAACAAAACTATAAATGATATTAACAAAGTTCAAAATACAACAGCATATTACGAAATAAAGAGAGAATAAAGTAATGTTAATTATATTCTAATATTTGGTAAAAATCATACTATAATAAAATCAATATAAAACATGATGAAAAAAAAAAAATAGAAAAATGTTGCTCTTCTTAAAACAATATTTATACATAGGAATAATTATCATTTGATCACAGTTTTATTTAGATCACGTAGTATGAATTATAAGTATTACATTTATAATAGTTGGAATATCTTATCAACAGCCCTTAGCAAGGTAATACGGAAAACGAGATATCTCGTCAGCGATCTTCAATGTGGTAACAAAACTATTTCTTATAACGCTGTATATTTAGCTTGTTGTTATTCGTCGGATTATTTATGGTTAGCAGAATCTTTTGTCGTACAAAACACATACTCTTTATAGTTTCTAAGAAAGTACCATCCTTGTGCTCATACTTTCATTCCATATACATATACATATAAACATACATATCATATAAATAACATATCCATGTATATATATAATACGCGTTATTCCTCTCATCATCTTTCATCATTTTTTTGAAGTGTTATTCTTCTTAATTTTTCTTTTTTTTCGAATGCCCACTTCGCCGCATCTTCTCGAATGATAATTGATCGTATGATCGTTCTGCTTTTGGTCACGTACGCCATAAGCACGCAGCGCCGCACACGCCGCACACGCACACATACAAATCATTCTCATGTACTCATACTCACACTACCAGATCTCGACAAAAGAAAGAATAGTTTCCTTGGTTTTACTTTTACGGTTATTGTCCGGAGCTATTATCGAAACATCTTGTATGTACGCTTTTAATAGTAATCGCTCTTCGTTATCTACGTCTCAAGTTTCTTTCTATTCATACGAAACACCAAAAACTGCTTTTCTGTTCATTCTCGAATTTCTTTTATTCTTCCAAAAGTAAATGTAAAATTTTTATAAATTTTTTTTAAAGATAGAAGAAAAAAATATATCAGAAAAAATGCAAGAATTATTTTAAAGTTGAACTAAAATTTAAAGTGTTCCTTCGAATCGTCGAAAAAAGATCGTAGCATTGCGCTACCTACATTTCTAAATTTCTAAATATTTTTAACAGCATTTTGTTTAATAAGAATTAAAATTGATAAAAAAAAAATATAAAAA